ACACACACACACACACACACACACACACACACACACACACACATATATATATATATATATATGTATATTGTGGTTCAAGAAAATTTCCCACAAGTTGAAGTTGACAACTTATCAAATCTACACACTATAATAGGTTCTTCATTGTCCTTATGGAGTACATCGTGCAATATGCAAGATACGACAGTGTGCATACGCGTGTGCGTATGATCTCCGAGGTTCTAGAGGGTGTGCTCGGTGATTCGTGCTGGTGTGTGGTAGTAAGGAATCACATGGTTAAACGAGATTTTGATGTGCTGAAAAGTGACCCACTTCAGCGAAATAGGAAGCGTAGGAATGGGCTTAAAAACGATACACGTGAAGACGATGCCGATTGGAATAGGTTGGAAAACTTAAGAAACTCGACTGTCAAGGATGATGAATATGCATCAACGCGACACCATATGTGCAAAGCTGAAGATAGTGTGCGCAGTTCACGAAGGCAAACCACACAAGAACCTGTGCACAGAGAAGCTGTAAAAATACACACTAAACACACTTACAGGGGATTGCACACAGACAAAGAAGATCATATGCAACAAAGTAAAGTAAGTAATATGGGTTCAGTGAAGCAAAGTTATCATAAAAAATATCGACGAGATAGGTTTAAACATCGTAACTACTCTGACGCGCATCGCATGGACAGAACAGATCATGAAGGGTACGCTAAGAATGCACCCGAGATGCAAACGGCAAATATGACCCAACACAGTGACTTCGACGTTGTACTATTCACGGGCATTCATGGAGCTCACACTTGTCGGTCGATAAATGTGGCGATTGAATTACTTAGGGAGCATAGGGGGATTAAGTATGTATATGTCCAGAAGACCTATACGCGTAGCCTGTCGCGAGCAGTGCCAAGGGAAGGAGAGCAGACTCCCCCCACCGACCACGTGCACAGCAGAATCCTCGCTGACGTTGCTTGGGATCAGGGATTCGCCGGCAAAGTGTGTATTAGAAAATATAAATACACATGTGTATATATGTC